CTTTAACAAGGTAATTTGGCAGGCTATCGTGAAATACTGGGCAGCCATACTCTGTAACAGGTCTTATACAAGTACAGTAAAAGGTAATAAGTTCCTTACTGTCCACGTTCGAACGTCTTAGTTGGCTCAGAAAAAACAAACGCTTATTCGCTTTCTTCATAATAACAGATATATGGCTATTCCACTTAAGATCGTTAGATATCTGCATGCCAAGGAGTTTTACACTTTCAACGACCTCCAGTTGCTTATTGTTGATGGTAATAGGATCGAAATCGGGAGGAAATTTACTGAAGCTAATACGTAACTCTTTACACTTGGACACGTTTAACGTAAGTTTATCAATAGAAATATGTCGTGTAAGTTCATCAACTTTCTCCTGTATGTTGGATTCGTTGTTTCTTTCAACAATTTCAAACATCGTTGTGTCATCGACGTATTTCCAGAGTTCCGAATCTTGGATTTTCAAATCATTTATCATAATAACGAATAACCACGGCCCGAGTTTGGTACCCTGGGGAACCCCAGATGGAATAGTTCCCCATTCAGAGTAGCAGTCGTTACCAAGTTTGACACGTTGTTTGCGACAAGTAAGAAAGTCAATAACCCACAAAACAATGCTTTCAGGAATATCATACGATTTTAGTTTGTCTACAAGTATATGGTGATCGATCAAGTCGAAGGCTTTCTTAAAGTCAACCAGTGGCGTGCTGGCAGGGGGGGCCGGGGGGCCACGGCCCCCCCAGCTGGCAATTTTTGGGGGGCGCAAAAATGAAAAGGGGGCGCCGATCCCGCGCCGAATTTTGAAAGTAGGTGGGAAGAAACGCATTCGAAAAAATATAGTTGCTAATTCCGCCAATGAAAGATGTGTTTATAGACTTATAAACAGACTAAGCGCATAGGCGACAAAGTGAGTATATTAAATTGCAGACTATTTTGTCTAACCGTATTTGCTACCTCACGACTCACACGAAATCACTCGTTCATATAGAAACATGATCAGTGATCACACGCAATGTCTCATTACCGGAATATTGATCAGGCTTCGAAGCGATCACGGGAATTATGCCCTTTTTTGCTGGTATTATACCCTTATATTATGCCCTTTATTATGCTTCACGAATCACGAGAGCGGCGCAAATTAGATAGTTGAAGTTATGATAATGTAAAGTTGTGTACGCAATTTAGTTGTTTGCGCAAGAAACATTATGAGTAATGTAAGTAATGAGATAATGATGAAACACGCCCTTTTGGCAGCCAGGCAAGGAAACCTTAAAATGCATATGCGTGGGGTTCGTGTGTTATTGTATAAAAGAGCTGTAAATTGTAAATGTATTCAGATCAGTAGAGAATAGAATTGGGATTAGATTAATTGCTGGAAGTAGTTAGCATTGCCCAATTTAAGTGCTACTACTAAATTCTAACCAATTTTCAAATTTCGACACGTTGTAATGCCGTTTCCTGACCATCAGATTTCTGTCAAATCTTCCCCCAAAGTCCAGGAAATGGCATTTCAGAGACTCTAAATTCAAAAATTTTCCTGGGGGGCATGCCCCCGGACCCCCCTAGACAAACCTCGCACCTGCGGCGCTCGGCTCGTGCCTTCGGCCCTCGTTTATCAAGGGTAATATTATAGGGGCGCATATTAGTTGCCAGCCGACTGGCCTCCCCAGAAAAATAGTACCCAGCACGCCACTGAAGTCAACTAATACTGTCCTGACAGTTGCGCCACTACCGTCAGTTGCTTTATTCCACGAATGCAGCATGCTGATCAGGGCCTGGGTGGTGTGTATATATATATATAAATATATATATATATATATATATATATATATATATATATATATATATATATATATATATATATATATATATATATATATATATATATATATATGGCAGCATACATTTAAATTGAAAGTTTAATATAAAATTGAGGAGATATTTCATTTTTGGTCGTCTAAAAACTTGATATTTGATAGTAGATCTACTCTTTCACATATTTGACGCCTGTCACCAAATATTTTGTCCCTCCAAACGATCCTATAGAATGCACCTGTGATCTCTTTTGGGAAAAGACAACGATTATAATTACTGTATAAGCGTTAAGTTGAGTAAATTTAACACGCTGGCTTAGTTTTTCGAAGCGCAGAGGAGTAATACTCCTATTTGGCTATCATATATAGTATTCATGCATAGTCATAGAAAATCGCGAACCGCAAGATTAACAAAGACATGTCATGTAATTTGTTTCTAAGCACAAGCATGCAGTTATATGAAGCCATGACTAAGCGAGATGGAACTGATTAATAATAAATAATAAATAATAATTAATTAATTTATAAGGCGCTAAAATCTATAAATATTCTAAAGCGCAAACTTTTTACCTTAACTTAAGCCCCGTTTACACGGCAAGTACACGACTGTAGCTGCGGTATTTTGCAATGGCACGCACAGTGCGGCAACGTTTGATGTACGGCCAAAGTTAATTTCAGGCACGGCATGTTTATTCTAAATATTGTGGGACATTTAACTTATCTATAGAATTCGAATGCAAGGAAATACTTTTGAAAACTACGCATTTAGTTATCTATGCTTTGTCCAGATTTACACCTCATTTATGGCGCGATATTATTATATAGACACATTTTGCCCGGATAAAATATATCTTGCATGACCATTTTAATTAAGTAACTTACCCAAGGTTACGTCGTCTGGCATATCACGAATTGAAAACACAAATTATCTAGAGTTCTAATAGCAAGTAATTGTGTTCCTTCCACTCGTGAGCTCATTACAAAAGTAATGTCCAGGCCTTGTGACCCTGGATGACCAAATTAAAAGAAGACATTTAGCGAAATCAGTCTACGCTGCTAACGTCGAGAATAATTAGTTTCACAAGTGTCTAGTTATTTGTTTATCAAGTCAAAATCTCGAAGATTTTGAACGTTTAACGATTTGCACAAGATCGAAACTGGATCACGCAGTTCCTGTACGATCGTACTTGTTTATACGAAAGTTGCATGACATTGTCTGTTTCTTCAATTAGCATGATACATGAGTCTATCATAAAAGTGCTATCCTTTTTAGCACAAACAAACTGGTCTAATAACCTATCTAAACAGGATCCTAATGAAGCTTATAACACTTTTTTGGCGGAATACACTAAATTTTATGAATTATGTTTTCCTATTATAACTATAAAGGAAACCAGCGCAAAAAAAATTAACAACCATTGGATCACAAAGAGATTATTGAAATCAATCAGAAAAAAGAATAGAATGTATAAAATGTTTTTAAAAAAACCCGATTCTACAGGGTGTATCAAAAAAAACTGAACAGATTTAAAATTGCTCTCAATTTCGCAAAACAGCTATTTGTATCCGTTTTTTTTATATATATAGCCTCTTCGGGAACTTATAATGTAGAATAATGAGAAAAATTTCTCGAACTCAAATTTTGTGAACCAGGGGGGGGGTGTCTTTTCCAACAAACTAAAAATGGCTCGCGCACAAAATTTAAAAGCTGCAATCATATTTTGAGTTAACAGATGGAAAAATTTGTCGAGATTTTAATTACTGTACAAAATTTCAGACAATTTGGTTTAGTTTAAACCCCTTAACTATTTACGCAAAGTTACAATTTTTCCGAAAAATCAGCTATTTGCATGCTTAATTAATGCATTTGCCTAATTTGCATATGTCAGCAATATGCAAATTAGGTAAAGGCATTAATTAAGCATGCGAAAGGCTGACTTTTTAGAACAAAATGAATAGTTAAAGGGCTTAAACTAAACCAAATTGTCTGAAATTTTGTACAGTAATTAAAAACCCGACAAATTTTCAATCTGTTAACTCAAAATATTATTACAGCTTTTAAATTTTGTGCGCGAGCCATTGTTTGTTTTCTGGAAAAGACACACACCACTGTTCACAAAATTTGAGTTCGAGAAATTTTTTTCATTATTTTACATTACAAGTACTCAAAGAAGCTATATATATATATATATATATATATATATATATATATATATATATATATATATATATATATATATATATATACATATATATATATATATATATATATATATATATATATATATATATATATATATCAAAAACTGGATACTATAATAGCTGTTTTGCGAAATTAAGAGCAATATCAAATCTGCTCAGTTTTTCTATACGCCCTGTATATTAGCAAGATGACATCATGCGGCCACCCGCAAAATAATTAATTCAAGTCATTTTAAAGTCGAAATATCACAATGATTGCTCGCAGCAACTTAACTTGAAACTTGATAGATAAATGTTGATATACTAGAAAACGTGATGCCAAGGTGGATTAAATTATGTATCATAACGGGTAAGAAGGAACAGCAAAGATAACATTATTTTAGTTCAAACTACTGACACGACTCGCAAAGGATGAAAATGTGCTGCCAGTGAGTAACATTTCGACAATTGGGGCGATGATTACATGAATAATCTTCACCTTGCAATTGGGATGAATTTTAACAACGTTTAACCGAGTTGAAATTATCTCACGTTTATACGACAAGTTTCGACTCGGGCTGAATTAAGCTACTCTCAATTAGAAAAACGGTGGGAAATCTCATCAGCGTTAGGGCAGAAAAGATCATCAAGTATCATCGATCGGCTGAAATCACTTTTAACCCGGAAGCCCAAGTTGAAATTTTAATTTGTTCATGTAATCGGGCTGTAGCCTGTAGGTTCATTACAAAATAATGCATGGTTACTCGTGCTGCAACAATAGTCTCCTATTTTTCGTGGCTAAAGCTTTTAAGACTTTTAACGAACTACTCAATTAGATATCTGAAAGGTTGAAATTGTTTAAAATGTTTTATCCTTCATTATCGTATCTATTTTGAGTCTTAATTTTATTTAAGTATTAAATTGCTATAGAGTATAGGCAGGGACGCCGGAACTGGGAGGCAGGAGGGGCAGTCTTCCCCGTTGCCCTTTACCAGGAGGGGCAAGGAGGGAAAAGGTGCCCTTTCAATTTAAAGGATTGCCTTGGCGAAATAGCGAGTTGTCAGAAGTGTTAGTGCAATTCTTTTACAAATTTGCTTCAGAAAACGCAAGAAATGCAGCCATCGAGCTTCAAGAATAGCACAATCGCCTGGTGGAGAACCCCCTCACACCCCCATCAACCAATAAATAGAAAACATGATTGGGCGAAGTTCAACTCCCGATGTTTTGCAATCATCTCTTAGTATATATCAATTCAAAAGTGCCCTTTCACGAAAATCTGCCCCCTGAATCATATTTTAAAATGTGAAGATAATTCATCTTTCCCCAGCTGTCTTCATTATATTTTGTCAGTTTTCAGCCAAAAGTATGTGTAAATATCAGTTAATCCATATCAAACCTTTTATACCTGCTTTCTCCCACTAGCATTTCTGAACTTATACCGTATAATTATATCTTTTATTAGATATTATTTAAACTAGATCGACAATGTTGATGGATAACTCTTGGTATGAGATTGAGAACAACTTTTGGTGCCCATGTGAGGACAAATTTAGTTCCCAGGCTAATGAAGATCATCTACCTGAATGTCGACAACATAAAATCCTCATGAAAATATCAAACAATATTGAATATTTACCTGGAGAGATCCCTCAAACACAGCATGGCAAGAAACGAAACAGTGTTGTTGATGAATTTTTGGCAAATTTGGAAACCATGAACACATCGAGAAGGCGCAGTTCTTCAAAATTGCTGCCTGGGTTTGTTCCCTTTGAAGAAATTGTCCCCTCTCTTTCCACCCGAGTTCCTGGACTAGAGGTATATCTTCCTGCATGTTTTTCTTCAACCAAGCTAGAAAAGTTGGAATCCATTTTAGATCAAGATCATTTTGAATTCGTACAGAAAAACAATTTTTTCGATTTAACTAGTGGAGCAACTAGGCTTGCCATAAGTCCAGAAGACAATCATGAAAATGAGAATGATGATCATAATTATGAGTCTACTATCGAGTCAAAAGACGAAATAGCTTCTGGTGAGCCTCCTGATTTTACTGCAGGAACACTGGACCATGAAAAAGGATCTATGGAAATTAGAACTAGCCATAATTGGGATGTCTTTGCTAACGATCATTACGTTGAAATTATCCAAAACTCTGTATCAAATACGAAGATTGCCAATCCAACTTGTAGCAATGAAGTTAATATGGAAATTGTGCAAGAAACAGGAAACTTTCATAACGGTTATGATGGAACGCACAGACAAGATGTATCAAATATGATGACAATAGAACATGAAGATGATATGCAGGAAACAGCTGAAAAATTTTCAGATTGCTCGCTTGGTGAAACTAAAAGTAGCATGTCCACAACCCAACAAAATTACACTGAACGATTGGGAAAAAACACTATAAATGAATGGCGTTCTGGTTTTCGTAAAGACGAAAGCAACAAAATGTCCACAACACAACGTGATTTAGCGACAAAACGATTAAGACAAAACACTCAAAATGGATCGTGTTCTTCTTGTCTTAAAGCTGAAAGTAACAAAATCTCCACAACCCGACGAAATTTAACCGAACGAATTCGAAGAAGCACTCTGAATGAAAAGTTTTCAAATCTTCAGGCCTCCATCCCTGATATTGCTAACAAGAAGAATATTTCTAAGGTAGATGTGATTAAATCAGCTGTTTTGTATATCAAGACACTTGAACAAGAAGAGAGATTTTACTTACAAATAATATTCAACGAGAAACAAAGAAATAAACAACTTCTAATGAAACTTACTCAATACAACCCTACAAACACTAATTGATACTAAATATTAGGAAAGGGTACAAAACCTTATACATAGAAGCGTACACGTGTACTCTTCCCTTTAATTATCCCAAAGTTCAAAACTTTGCTGCAATAGTGCCAAAATTGTAGTTGGTAATCATTGACTTATTAATGACTTTTAATACTATAAAAAAGGACATACATTGTGCCGGAAACTGTACATGACAGAAGAACATTTTTCGTCCCTTCCATTGTTCTGTTAACATTCTAGCTGGCTTTACTCAAAGGAAACTTTCCGATTAGTATGGCCGGATCTAGACCGGTCAAAGAACAGTCAAATTGTTGAATACAATACAAAACGTTTGGGCTTTGGACATATCTGATTGGAAAACTTGGATCAATTTAGAAGGACGTTGATTTTATATTTGGGGTAACCCATGGAACAGTTGAAAACAATCATGTGACCGTACGTGTTCTGTTCCATTCCATTAAATGTTTATTAAAAATTCATTTATTGGGTAATGAAGCTTAATGATTTGTAGATTGCATATACGTAAAATTTTGCTTTTTTATGAAATATTAAATAAATTATAGCCGTTAGCGATTAATTCTAGCCTGTGGCTATATTACTTCGACGACAGAAATTACTACCGGCAATTAATAACAAGAAATTCCCGGTGATTTTGGCCGGGACGTGAAATATTTTTCTGTCATGTTGGTGTTATGTACTCAGGTGAATATGATGTTTGCGATGTTAAGGCTAGTTTCCACTCAGGAAAAATATCCGTGGTTTCGAAGGGACAAGAAAACTTTTCTTTGTGTTGTTAAAGTCATTAGTTCCAACCCAGAGCTCACAAGACAAAGAAAAATTTTCTTGTCCATTCCAATCTGCGGATAATCTTCCTGAGTGGAAACTAGCCTTTACTCTGAGTGTACATCCACGTACACCAGGCAAGCTTGAAAAATATGCCTGGCCACGGTGGGAATCGAACCTAGCTCTGCCAAATGAGCTAAGGCTACAATTTACTCTATACCGGATAGTGAAATTTGCCTTAGTTGTGAAGATGCTATTTTTGTTGTCAGTATTGCCTTCAGGAGACCTTCTTTCTAACTTGTTCAGACGTTTTAGTCATAAATCACGCAGTGCAACACGATCTGCAGCACGATCGTGCGATTTGCTGGGCTGGCCCGTTTAGTGCGTTAATGGCTGCGTTTATGGGAACCAGGGAAGCCGGCTCACAAAAAAACTGTTCTCACATGAAACTGGTACGTTCTCATAGAGAAAAGAAGCATCCGGCAAAATAGTCTTACCATGTAATCGTTGCAGCCGTCCTTTGCTTCAACGATTTCACCTTCCTTGTAAACTTTACTTGTATTCTGGATTTCCCTTCAAAATTTAATGTTGCTCAAAAGTACATAAAAATTTTACTATCTTATTTGCGCTGAGGAGTGTATTTTTTTTACTTCCTTCAATATTTTATATCAGAAGCCTCTGCGTAGGAGCAGGGCTGCCAAAAGATTGCGCGGGGCCCATAGCAAAACTTCTCCAGCTGGTCTATGACGTCATAACTGCAAAACAGAAGAAGCGGTGTTTTTTTTTCAATATGCACTATTTGCATATTATCTGGCACTGACACGGCTAGTATTTGCCCCCATGCCCCCCTCTCAGCGGCACTCCGTAGGAGAGAGGTATGTGATGTTCACTAAATTAAAATAACCTCCTCTTTAGTAATTAAGCACAATCTGATATCCTTAACATACAATGCCCTCTTATGCAGAAGATTACCGACCAGATTATATGTCAAAAGCATAGATCAAAAGCCTCACTGACGTGACCATTGGCGTAAGCGAGTTTCCTCGGCCCCAGTGTGCGGCGACATTCAGTAAGAGCTTTTGGTCACGCGTGCCATGTTCATCGAATATTCAACATGTTGATAGTACTTGTGTGCACGAGTGGATGTAGTCCCACTTGTGCGGGTAAATAAAGTAATAAACAGATGTATTATATTTGCATAATATTTTGTATGCAAAATTGCAAATGCTACGTTTAGTATACTTGATAATTTTTTGCACGTGAAATGGCTGGGGATTTTTTTCCACGTGAAATGTGGTCAGAATCCCTCCCCCCTCCTTCACCACCCTCATACTGATCTTAATTAATTGCAACCCAATTAAATTAAGAAAATTTGTTATGATATTGCATCCATCTATTCCAATATTCAATTTCAACCAATATTCAAGTTCACCTTATCATAACCGGCACACTCGATCGAAAATCCATATATACAAGAACCTGTGGTTAAGGCCATAGGTAGCCTCTCTTCTCCCGCCCGCACTAAACGCCTGCTACGCAGGCTAGGCCATAGGTTAAGGCTCGTCATCAGGCCTCTTTAGCTCAGTTGGCAGAGCGCTGCACTGGAATCGCAGGGCCGCAGGTTCTATTCCTGCCAGAGGACCTAGTGTTTTCGCAACCGTTTGGGTATCAAAAGTATTATCCATCTACCTAAATATTAGAAAGTACTGTAAATCGACAATGGCAAATTACCGGCTCATCCCCTACGGCCCATACCTCATTACCTCCCAGTGATACCGTCCTTGATCGTAAATAATTCAGCAACAAATTTGAGATCAGTTTTCCTCGCCTTCTTTTTTCTTCCCCTCCAATCCACTAATGTACCATGTAAAGCCCAAATTAGTCCTACCTATCCCCTAATTATAATAAATAAAATATTTGAATTATTTCCCTTTGGATGTTGCAGAAAATAATCGTGATTTTTTGCTCTTGTACTCTTGAAACTGAACACTTGTGCGGGTAAGAACACTTCAGTCTTTATATTTATATATCTAGGCTTAGGTTATGCTACTCTGATCGACTTTAAGCCTTTTTTAACAGTAATGTATTGCGCGAGTATTTGTGTCATGCGTTGTAAAATTTAAACGTACAAGTACTGGGCGAGTTATATTAGCTGAAAATAGTTGAATAACAACGTTTTTCCCCACCATTAAATGTACAGTATCATTTGTATAGTATATAGTTACTTTGTTTACGATATAAGGCCGTGAAAATCATAAAATGCGAAAAATAGCTGTTAAATTAAACATCGCTTCTATGCGGCATGTTTTTGAAAGCGTCTGTCATGTATTTTCGAGACGATATTTGGCAAACAGCGTGTTTCAAATTTCGAGGGATTGTGTTTCAAATAAAGCCAACACGTTTCGCTTTAGTAGTTTCACAAGTGGAAACGGATATAAGACGTCTTTATTTCACAACTGAAAGGTTTTAATAATTATGACTTCATATCCACAAAGGAATTTTTGTATTGTAAACAACGACTCTTGACAACAGCGCTATATAAAGTCAGAAATGAAACGGAGTAAAATATATTTTTAACGTCTCTTTTGCCCCTTGAACACAAACATATAGATGTAATTTCTTATCCAATTTGATATAAATTCATTGCAACTACAATTTTATATGAACATTGTGTTGAGGCAAACCATACTCAATAAATAATGCTTTATAATGTCAAATATATTTGTATTGTACAACCACTGACACGCGATTTTGAATTTTAATCCGCAAGGATTATTCTGGCTGAAACTATTCACAAATAGCGTAGTTTTACTTATTTAATTAAGCAAAATTTATAATTTGAATCAAGGAAAAATGTGTGGCAATGCAAACTGCCAAATTTACCATCCATGGTAAATCAAATTGAGGAGTGAAAGAATTCTTTTACACAGCTAGGGATCGACCTGATTGGATTCCGATACCCATCAGCTCAAGATCTTTGGCGAAAGCATAGCCACTTGGCATAGCCAGGGACGCTGGAACGATGTGAAGGCAAGAGGGGCAGATTTTCGTTAAAGGGCACTTTTGAATTGATATTTTCTAAGAGATGTTTACAAAACATCGGGAGTTCAACTTCGCCTAATCATGTTTTCTATTTATTGGATGATAGGGATGTGAGGGGGTTATCCGCCAGGTGATCTTGCTATTCTTGAAACTCGATGAACTTGCGTTTTCTGAAGTCAATTCGTAAAATAATTGCACTGACAATTCACTGCAATTCGCTAATTGCACTGACAATTTCTGAAAATTCGCTATTTCGCCAAGGCAATCCTTTAAATTGAAAGGGCACCTTTGCCCCCCTTGTCCCTCCTGGTAAAGGGCAACGGGGGCGGCTGCCCCTCCTGCCCCCCAGTTCCGGCATCCCTGGGCATAGCACAAAGGAGTTTTTGGCATGAAAAAATTAAAAGGCAGCAGATTGGCAGGCTGGCGGACTGTGTCTGTTTAAGAAATGTCAAAATGTGCTTTTGGCAGGTTTTCTAAGGGGCTGATTACATGGACCGGGCCAGCCCGGTTAACCGGGCTGAAAAATGTCACGAAAATCTTCCTTGGGGTGCAAAATGAGTTTTGATAGGATGATTTTGCATCTATAATAAACCAATTATTTATCGCAAATCTATTTTACGCGAGTTTTAAAACTGCACAGTAAGGTCCTAAACAAACGAGTCAGCCCGGTTAACCGGGCCAGCCCGGCACCATGTAATCAGCACCTAAGACCCTGTTTACACGGTACCGGGCGAATTTGGGTCCAGTCTGAAATTCGTCCGTTTCGGCTGTGTAAACATATGAGAACCACAGAACCGGACAAATTTGAAACCCCCTAACAGGACGAGTTTGCATGTAAACAGACGAAAAGGACGAATTTCAGACCCAAATTTGGCCGGTACCGTAAACAGGGTCTAAAGTTGTAATTTTCCTGGTGTAAATCTTTGGCGAGCGAAAATGAAGAAATCCAATCAGGGGGATCGATTAAAATACATGGACATGGACAATTGCAGCCTGGCTGAAATTTTAGTCTAGGTAGTCCGATCCGGGATGATATCTCAGTGCCAGTTGCAGAAAGCTTGTATATTGCGCTGTATTTACTGTTAAATTTTCAAAATCTTGAGTGTGCATTTTCAGGTCTCCGTTCAGGCTGAAATGTTAGAGTCTTGAAATTGAGCTGTTTAGCATGTTTTGCTTCATTCAATAACTTGCTGATCTTATGTCTTCTGTTTGACTTCTGTAAGGCCATATAAAATAAATTTCTTGATTCTCATCACCGCCCAACGATACTTGGATTTCCTCATTGATATATTTTTATATTTTCTTATAAAATATAAATTTGCTGCCCGACCGAGCATCTTTAGAGATTTAGTTATTTTTATATTTTATAGTGGAATTTTTTGCGATATAAAATTGTTTTATCGTTAATATTGCAACATGTTAAGGTATATGCGGGATACTGAAGGAAAACATGGGCTTATTACGTACAACGATTTGTGTGGACCCTTGTGTATGTTCATTAAAGGGGCGGTATGATCAAAATTTTTATTAGAACTCTTAAACCAATGAAAGCTTAAACGAAAATGCTCGTAAAACTGTATAATAACTTGTTTTGAAAATTTTTGTTCTCATGCTTAGTTCTTGAGATATTTCTTTTGTTTGTAACCATGTGACGTCATCTACTCAATTACATATATAATGAGATATCAGTAATTGTTGTGTATCTTTGCTATTTTTATCGATTTGTTAATAAACACAGTATCTTAATGATGCAGGTTAAATTAACAAACACGCCGCATCTTTCGAAAGATTTTGATAAAAATAGCAAAGATACACAACAATTACTGATATCTCATTATATAATGTAATTGAGTAAATGACGTCACATGGTTAATAAAAACAAAATGAAATATCTCAAGAACTAAGCATGGGAACAAAAATCTTCAAAACAAGTTATTATACTGTTTTACGAGCACTTTCGTTTAAGAAAATAAAATTTTTTATCATACTGCCCCTTTAACGCATGTGCAATTCTCCACTTAGCAGCATTCTTCTATGATATAAGAAGGCCAAATAGAAAAAGACCTCCCTCTCCAATTTTTAAAGATCGAGATCTCCTCTTGACAACTAAAATCGTATGTGGCGTTATGACAAAGTAACATGATTATATATAGTACATACCGGCACATTGGAGTGCAATTCAACTTAATTAATTATAATATGTTAAAGATGTTGAATTGATCCTTGTTCAACTTACAATATTGTCTTGTTCAACTAGGCCTGAAGTTTCTTCTTCATTATTTGACTAATGTATTTTCATTGCGGTCTGGTCAACTGGGATAAACAGTTTCTGTAAATAGTTCAAACCAGAATAAATTTCAAGCCTGGCAAGAATTTTTGTCATGTAATCAGAAACTCCATTTTACAAGGATTTCATATACTTAGGAAGCCTTAAATTGCCAGCTTGTATTTTTGTTTTGAAAATGTGTCAAAACACTATTTACTGAATATTAATCCATATTAATTATTAATTAGTAAACAGAACTTAACTCTCTTGAGAAATAACAATGAGCTTTATAAGCAATTAAGTGACATAGATAGGTTTTTGTTAACACTGACGACGACGTCACCCAAAAATTGCAGACGTTCCAACTTGACATAGATCTCCAAAAATCGGGAGGTCTGGTAAAGGCAAGAAAACGTTGACCTCTAGTGTGACTGGGTAGAAAATTTAGAAAATTTAAACTTTCTTTCAGAAGCGCCATTTCTTGATTCCGAGACTCGTGAATACAACAACTGTAAATTTCTGCCTTTCATGCGAAATATTACAAAACTTTGTCGTTCAAAACACCCCTCTTGGCAAAATACCGCTTTTTTGTCAATCCGAAAACTGTTTTTACCGTACGCGAACGGCTTTTACGAGGATTCTTTTAGAAAAAGTAACATTTTTTCTTTTCATTCGTAAAATCGGGAGGTTTAAATATAAATCGGGAGATCGGGAGATTTGCCAAGAAATCGGGAGCCTGCCGATCAAATCTGGAGGGTTGGGACCTTTGAAATTGGTATATATAACCAATTAATTTTGGCAGCATTTTGCATTGTAGCGCTTGTGTAAGGAAACAAATAATCTTGTGTGTTGAAGATTACTGTACATACCACAAACTGATACAAATTAACACAGTTTTTCATCCAGTCTCCCCTGGGCAAAAATGTCACTTGCTTTTAAAAGCCTGGTCATTTAATTCTGACTGGGTCCAGAGGAAATTTCTGCTGTCTTGAGGGGAGTGTCTGAAAAGTCTACTTAACTGTTAATAGTAAAATATCTAGCTAAGGACATCTGAATGGAGATGGAGGTTAATTTAACTTCCAATTTTTTCTGTACTGGGGTAGGTGCATGTTCTTCTGTGGTGTATTAATTAATGTTTAATCGGCACAGTTTTAACCAATCAGAGTCCAATAATTAATCGACTAAAATGATATTAATCTATATATTATAGAATAATACTGTAAGAATTGTTTTACCAACAACTCTTACCAAGCATCTTATATTTCAGGTCATCATGGGTGAGAGTTGCTACGGAGCAGTCCGTGTCATAGTGATCTTCTTTAACTTCATATTTTTTGTAAGTATAAATAAAGACTCATATACATATGATAATTTACTAATATTGTATACTACAGTCCTTGCACAGTCGAAGATGAAATTATTGACGGCAGTTTTTTGCCGCCGCCAAATTTTTGTGTTCACTGCCTTCTCAATTCGATTAATTCTTCTAAGTATGAACAGATGATTATTATTATGATGATTATTTGATGATTGCTGGTCTCAATGCATGTGAAAGTGAAACAAGGTTTTCTCAAGTATACATCATGCAGTAGAGAATGTTATAAAAACAATACAGTTCTAATCTCTATCAAAGACATTAACAACAAGTAAATACTATGCATGCTCATGCTTCTTCAATCTGTCATTAAATACTAAAGGACTACCGAATGGTTTTCCGTGCAGGATTGCGTGATCCATGCACGCGGGATGTTGCGAGACTTTCGGAAAGCGTAAAAAGACACGAGCCGTAGGCGAGTGTATTTTTACGCTTCCCGAAAGTCGAGCAACATCCCAAGTGCATGGATCATGCTATCCTGCACGGGAAAACCATTTGGTAATTGTTTTATAAAATTACTACAGTGAAACGACGCTTAACTTGATTAAATTTACTGATGAAATGTGCAGTTCTCACAACATTCGTGAATTAACCAATCAGAGAATCGCTACTCCACGCTATTGAAAACAACAACATACGTGAACAGAATTTGATCGCAAATTCGCGAAAATATACAGCGAAATTACAGGGACTTTTTCGATAAGATATACGAAATTTTAAATGGAAAACCCGCTAAACAGAGAGACAACGTAATTTTGAAGATTCTCGAGCTGAATATGGGAAGATTGCGAAGCGTTTGATCAACTTTGAAGCGAGAGATGTTGTACTTGGATGCCATGGTCTGATGAATTTCAACGCTTACGCGTTGCTACTTGCTGAATAGCAATGTATCGATCAGAAATTTATTCATACAACTAAACCAACGTCTCAATAATTGGAAACTTACTTCAAAGTCGAAAGGTATCGTACAATGAAACTTTACAATGCGAGTATATTTGTAAAATTATGTGCAAGAATTTCTGTTCAGAATTTCCCGTGCAGGATTGTCTGATCCTGCACGGCTGTTGACCAATCAAATTGCGTGTTTCACTGTAGTTATTATATAAAAAAAAATTGCTGCAGCTAAGTTGGAAATATTGATGACAGGGGTGGAAAAATTTTCTTTCTTTCTTTCTGGGAACCTGGGTTGAAGGCTAGAAATTTTCTGTAAAATTTGCAATGTTACAATTACAAAAATATTAATAAAACAAATGCATAATTTTTGTATTATTTGTACTTTTAATTAGTAATAATAGGCTTTAGGCTGTTTTTTTTTGTATGCTAGCTTGTACATCGCAATAGTTGTCTGTTATATACCACAGTTATGAGTTATGACCAACTAGTAAGGATCTAATGCTTAACTAAGAGTCCCATCATCTTATTTATTCCATCACTTTTATTTGTTTACTATTTAATATGCATTTTATTGGAGACTTTGCAGAGCGTATATTTACCATTTTACCTCATTGTGATGGCAGGGGTGGGTAAAAGAATTAATTTCTGTCAAATATTTAAAAGCTGCTGATGTTAGTGTGTACAGTGTAAATAAAGTAGAATAGTTGTAACTTGTAAGTTGAGTAAACAGAGTTATCTCAAAATGTTGAAATATTATCTGGAAAATTTTCTGCAAAACTCTCAACTCAAAAAAAAATTCTGGGAACTAGGTTCCTAGGTTCCGATACTTTTTCCACCCCTGATTGATGGCAATTTTTTTGCCTACGAAGATTTAGCAAAATGGGGAGGACTGATTCTAAACTACAGTAACTCACAAAAGGAAGAACTACTGTAGAATTCCCCATTGGAATGAGTTTTTCTGTCCGAACTTTAATGGATTTCAGTAGGAAAATTTAAATTCCTATTGGAATTCACTGAGCTGCAGCATGGTTTAATTAACTAAGGTATATTTTAACACAGCCTTGATCTGGTAAATTTTAAAGGAAGTAATTAAAAACGCAAATTTTGTACTTACATAAGGTTAATTAAGATACTAATACTAGAAGTTTGACTGGGGGCCATAGACATACTTTGTTGAAACCAGCTTTAGCTGACAATGTTAGTGTGAGCCTGTGAGGTTAAATCAAGTTTGTCATCATCACCAGAGCTGAGTGTCGATCTGCTCACAGGTGTCTACGAGAAGTGGTTTGACTCTAATGTCGTTTTATTAATTAAGACTGGTATTAAATTTCATTTCCAGCCATTATTTTTTTAACTATTTCATTTTTTGTACAATTTACAGTTTTTAATATCTGTCGTCACCGTACTTGCCCATGTGGATGGTTAGGTGCAGACATGCATGGTCAGCTAATGATCTAGGAATTTGAGTTACTTGGATTTAGGTCTGAATCTTGTGAACATGCATGCATGTCCATTCAGGACCTGACCACCAAACGTCTGCACCTTATCACACCAAACTAGGTGTGCCATAGAAAAAGTATTTTTACATTATGTACTGTATGTGCTGTCATGTGTCGGTGAAGTTCCGTACCATTTGCATGGAATTGCAATTTTTTCATGTTTCTTTGCTATAGCTATGTGGATGTGGTATATTATCATTTGGTATCTATGTGCAGATTGAGAAGGGTGATTATGCTGCAGTGTCAACAACAAGAGGTCTTACTGCATCACTCTTATTGATTGTTGCTGGGTTTATCACTGCTCTCATTTCATTCATGGGATGTCTTGGAGCTTACAAGAAAATGAGAACTCTTCTCTGGATTGTAAGTGAAGTATAGACTGAATATATTTCTTAGAAATTAATTTGAAGTTCAAAAGAAGACCCTATATTTCATTCATGTGATATAGTCATTTCATTCATGGAACCCATGTCTTGGAATATGGTTACCAGAGTTCATTTATTTAATAGCTTTAGTGCCTGCAAGCAAAACTTGTAACTTCAAAATGTGCCTGCAAAAATGCATCATACTGTTTAGGTTTTGCGAGCTAAATGTTGTTAAAATGTCAGACATATTTTAAAATGTGCAGGAAATTCATAAAGTGCATGACTTTGAACAAAATAAAGTTATTTTTCATCCCTTATTTTGCAATAAACCCATTGATATCAATTATATTCCACGTCATTTGGAGCTTATAAGAGAATGAGAACTCTTCTCTGTTTGCCTTTGGCTCTTTGTTTGTGCATCTATTCTTCATGAAAAATCCTACAGTATAAGATCATACGAGAATTACCAATTATACTGTATTTCCTATTCTTGGGACTGTATTTCTTATTCTTGGGTTTCACTACAGCATTTTGCAGTGAATCTGGCGGGGGTCAACCTCAAATGTATTGCCTTTTTATGCTTATGCTGTACTGGAGTGTGAAAATGATACGAAATTCCATGTATTTGCCACCAATCACAAGGCTAACACATAAAACGAACAATCGACTCACTCTGATAACTGTATTAAAATTTGTTTTAGAGTTGACCCCCCGTCACTTCTGTGACGTCATATGAAAAATATAAAATATAGGATTAAATTATGATTTGGACCATAGTCTGATAAGAATTCCTATAGGAGTTCCAATAGGATTGTTAATATATACTGTACATATATGTACGACATGTCAAACACTCAATCTCTAACATAATATCTCATGAACCGTTACAGAGATTTCTGTTGGAAATCAGTTTTAATATTTGCTGTTTCATACAGCTAGACCATCATTAATTTTACCAAAATTCCAAATCCCATCTACAGTATCCAGTAAACTGTTTCTTGCTGCCATATATTATGATTTATGCTGAACATCTTCAAAAATTGCATTGAATTCATAAACTAGTCTTTGGATAAAACATTATATTCTGTTTCTCCTTAAAGTTTGTTGTGATGATGGGTTTGATTGTGATCTTAGAGATTGCTGCTTTCATCTTGGCTATAGTCTATCGAGGAAAGGTAAGGATGTCTTCTTAAGGCATGTTTAAACGAGGCCAACATGATGGTCAACCAGTGAGCTCCATCTGGAGCAAGAACTTCAGTTATTCGGCCAATGAGAAAAGTGCATCCAAGATGGCGGTCATTGACGACCAATAGCTCTCAAGGTCGTAAACAGCTTTTATACCATTTTCCCAGTTTTTCTAAAGGACTGTATAGCTAACCAAGTTATCAGATCATAAAACCATAGTGTTATTCTTTAAATCGATGTCAAAATACGAAATTTCGGTACACTCTTTGCGAAGATGGCGGAAATTAAAGCCGCTATTGGACGACAGTTCCAGTCCCTTTCTATTTTTTTGACTGCACGGTTGACACGAAGCTGACTTCACTTTTTAGACTCAAGTTCTCGCTCCAGATATATATGGACTATATGGAGCTCACTGGGTCCAACATCATCCAACATTGTTGCATGGATGATGCAATTTCGCCGGCGATTTTTCTCCTCCTCACGGATGTGGCTGAATGAGTGACGTGCAAAAGACTTCCAAAACGCGATTCCATAGTCCAAAACGCGATTCCATACTTTTGGCTACGAGTTCACTCATTCGCATTTGTCAGGAGGAGAAAATCGCCGACAAAATTGCTAGTGTGAACCAGGCTTTAAACACTATGTTGGACAATGTTGTCTGATGTTGGAAAATGTTGGACTTTGTTTAAAATTTTCATCGTCCAACAATCAGCCTGAAAGTTGTCGATTATCGGCCTATGCCAAGTATTATTAGTTTAGGTTAGCTTCCTGATGATGACTGAATCTTAGTCGAAAGCTAAAATATTAAGAGGTTTATTTTCGGAGTTACCGTTGTTTTATATTTCGGCTTAACAACTTCTTCTTTTAACCTGGGTAGCGGTTGTACTAAAGGCTTAATAAAAACTACTTTTTTCACTTCCCGTTTTGTAGTTAAATATATGTTAACTATAAATTAATTAACTAGACAGAGATTCAAGCTGTTTGACCCACCTAATTGAAACCGTCAAACGTTCGTAACAAACTTTGATATTTTAAACGAGACACTGTTTTTGTCTGTTTTTATCAGACGATGGTATAATGAACACTGTATCTGCCTGAGGGTTATCATAATGATATTTTGATTTGGACCAGAGATCCAGAGATTTGTATCCGTTTAAAACGGATGTCTGCTGTGGGTTAATAGAGATTCGACTGTATCAACATTTTCTAATATTTCTGCAGTTGCGAGACGAGCTTTATGATGATATGATCTCATCAGCACAAGAATATGGTAGGGAGGATCAAGATGGGATCACTGATGGATGGGACTGGATACAAAGAAAGGTTTGATTGATATACCCCCAGCTAAAGTTCTTACCCTTGCGCAGGTTCTTGTCTGCCATTCTTGTCCTTCATCAGTTTCAAGATATTTATATCTTCCTTTCTCTAATGTCCCCGACCGGCTATCTATGGGTAATCTCTTTACATGCATTGCGTGTCCATTCAATCCCAGCCTTCCTTCCCTCACTTTCTGCAGTGTCTAGCATTCCACATGTTCTTCTGATCTCTTCATTTCAGAATATCTCTGATTGGCTCCATCACAACGTTCAGTGATCTCTTCATTGAATAGCATTGTATTGCGTCCCATTTAATTCCACTACATTGCATTGCGTCCCATTTTATTGCATTGAATTAGCCTTTCTAACGCCGTCATTTTTGGGTGGCTTTTCAGCCAAAGTCTGCGAAATAAGTCCACATAACAGCGACTTTTTATAATTTGGTGGTAAATTTGCTTTGTAAATGGTTAGTTTATTTTGAAAAATAGTTTTTCACATTGTTTTAATTGTCTGCATTGGTTAACGAGAATTAGATGCCACCCAAAAATGGCGGATATTCCTCATCGTGAGAAAGGCTAATTGACTTAAATGTGTTTTATTGTATAATAAAAGGACCTTACAATGACTATACAATCTTGAAGATGATTATGTAATATAATTTTTATTGTGTTTTAATGTATTGAAATCTTTCATTGACTTTTGTAGTTTGAATGCTGCGGAGTGAACGGTACAATTGACTGGGCTTTCTATTATCAGAAAGCAAGTGGAAGTCATAACATTGTTCCAGACAGTTGTTGTGTTGTTGAAAATAAAGGTTGTGGCAATCCCTACAAGTATAGCAATGGCACTGTCGTGAGTGCTATTTACACCAAGGTATGACTAAAGACAATACTTAAGAAGATTTAGCAACATGGGTACATTATGTACATATTAGGATTTTGGGCATCTATACTGTACACTCGATATAATTATAATTAGTCATTTCCCAATCGAGCAGAGGACTGGGTCTAGTTGATGTTTGGAGGGACAACAAATTATAGTGAGGAACCAAATGTATATTAAAAGATGCCTTATATAATTGTTGCTTTTCGGGCTGCACAAATAACTTTAGGAATGTAGGAAAACTTCCTAGATGCCATATTCGGCATATTGTTTATTTTTTGTCCCTCCAAACGAGCGATTAGACCCAGTCCTCTGCTCGATTGGGAAATGGCTAATTGTAGAAGGGGTTTTTGTAGGTGGGGATTTTAAGTGTGAATTTTATACATTATTAGACCTAACCGAAAGCAATTTATAAACTTTATACCTTACATTGGCATCACTTTAGTATCGCAGGTTCGAACCCTACCATGCAGGGGCCTATAGTCGCAATTCTCGCAACTGCTCCTGGTCAAGTCTAATAAATGTATTTATTATATACATGACAAAATTACTGCAATCTGATTGGTTGAGAGGAGTGCAATTATTTCATTAATAGACCTTATGCATAATGACATCGCAAAGCTTGATGCCCGCGAGGAATGCTGGTCTTAGTAGTCATCGCCCAGGAAAATTAAACAATTTAAAATGGCCATTATCGAAATTTTTCCGAGCGATGACTACTAAGACCAGCATTCCTCGCGGGCATCAAGGCTTGTGACGTCATTATGCATAAGGTCTATTGCACTCTCCAGGAGTGCCATTAATGATTTTCGTGACTCGCTGGGGGGAGCGGGAAATCAAAACAACAAAATCCAATATGGCGGCGAAATTTAAATAAGTATTTCTAACAAATGTGGACGAATTTAACTGAGTTTTGGCACAAGAAAGAGTTTAAAAAACATAGTATGGCAAAAAGAGCCTGTGGAAAATACCTGGAAACAGTTTTAAGAAATAATCTCGGCGGGATGCAGCGAAACGTGACTATGTAAGTTTGAAATACAATTTATAAAGATTTTCCTAGCCCGCGGCTCGTGCAATTTTGGCACATTTTTAGTGTGAAGTTTCTTCGAAACTTCACAGTATTGTGATGGTGGGGAAAATTCAAACGAAACAGTCAGTCAGTCATACAGTAAACTTTCCGGGGGGCGTGTACGATGTATGTTCGTAGTGATTTATTGTGCTTAGTCAGTACTTTGAAGGTTATTTAGGCAATTTCAGTTAACTTATTTACATATTCTGTTATCTTTTTGCCAAGTTCACAAAAATTTCGAGCAATCGCTTTCGTTATTGTAATTCTTTGTAAATTTTAGAACATTCGCTTCTCATGTTGTGTAAAGGATCTTTACCCCGGAACACCCGATTTTTCTTTAGTAGCGCAAATGCGCATGCGCTATCAAGCCGTAGATCACGATGGCGTGACGATATGCTAGGAAGGAGTGGCAGTGTTGTTTTCAGATGTATAAACATTTCAGACGTGAATATTGAGTAAATCTTTGAGGATCTACGCAATATATAAATTGATCTTATGCATTACGGCCGTTCAATTAATAAGTGTCGACAATATTTAGACGGTATATTCATTATACAGAGCTAGGAAGGAGCTAGACCGCCTAGGCAGTGCATTTAAGACTCAAGTATATAAACATTTCAGACGTAAATATTGAGCCGAAAATCTTTGAGATTCTAGGCATTCAATTGAGTGCTGATATTATTTTCACGGTATACTCGTTATACAGGGGTACAGTATGTACGAAGAAGCGAGACAGTGTTGTTTTTCAAATATATAAACATTTCAGACATGAATATTGAGAAAATCTTTGAGATTCTACGCAGTAATATATATAAATTGACGAGTATGGCTACCGGCGTTCAATTAAGTGCCCATCGATAGACGAATCGGTTTATGAAGAAAATATTGCGAGACG